AGAGAAGAGGGTTCCCGTGTCAGGAGCTAGACCCCTGAGCTCTGTCTCCCCAGTGCCTCCCGAATGGTGTTCCCATTGCACCTGGGAAGCCCGTGGCAGCCCGTTTGACAACTTACAGCCTGTACGTTCTCTGATGGTGACCGATGAAAAAGAACACCGTGGGGTCTCATGCACAGCCCACCCGTAACCTCCGAGGCCCTGGACTTCCTTTGCACCTGTGTTTAACATTAAAGTCCTCTGCCAGGTGTAGGAAATAGACAGTTCCGTGGGTTCTTCAGTGAAGACTACCGGGCATTCACCTCGTGCTGAGAGACCCGCGTGGCTGACGGTGACGTGGCAGGAATTTTGTGGAATTGCTGGGGAGAAAAGCCGAGCCAGGACAGAGCTGAGAGTCTCCCACTCTGACTTGTGCATGCACACCCCTGGCTACATCTCGTGGATGCTGCTCCCATCACTAGGTCCCTCTTTACAGTAGCCCTCAATTCTCGAGGTCTTGTCATTTTTGCCTCCCTTGGGTTAGTGTCAGGGATGAGCCTTTGTCCTGCGCCCTGTTGAGAACGGGGAGCCAGCCTTCTGGGAGTTCCCTCTCTCAGAGCCACCTCCCTATCGGAGTCTCTCTCTAGCATCCGCTTCTCAGAGCTTCTCCCTCACAGCTACCCACAGGAGTCTCCTTTCCACTCCACCTCTCTCAATTAAGGACCTTTTGAGTCCCCGCAAATCCTCTCTTCCCTCCACACAAGCCCCAGATTCTCTTCTTCCTGTAATTAAAACAGGTCTTCCTTCTCTATAATTGAAAGTGTGAATTTCAAGGTAATTTCTTTAAAGTTACTCCTTTTTTTTCTGTTCAGTTTTGACTCCTTTAACTTGTCACGCGCTACAGAATTTACCTCTACCCGTCTTATTGAAAGCTATTCCTTTCTTCAGCATTTTCCAAGAAAAGCTCAGGTTTAGGGAACTAGTTTAGAGAGGTAATCTCGTTTCCAGATGAGGAAGGAATGGCTTCTGATGATAGAAGATTTTATGACCTCTACTGTCAAGGTAGAGCTCAAAGTGGGGCTAGTGGGCAGTGGGATTTCTAATTTTATTTTATTGCAACTAATTTAATTGTAGACGCTACACATGTAGGTGGTCCTCCCCCCTCCCTCGGACTCAGGGGTCTGGAGGAAATATATTTGAGTTACTAAAGGTTCTTTTGAATCATAAGGAGGCCTGAAAGGAACTCCACTGTTGAGTGTTTTCTGTGGATCACGGGCCCTGCTACAGGACCAGTGTCCAGCATGGTATCACCTGAGATGCCCAATGCCCAGCAGGGAGGTGTCGGCTGAAGGAATGCAGGCCACTGTCTCGCACTGTGGTACTCAGCACCAGACACTATCGCCAAGACTGTGCTCCTCCTCCGAGGCTGTAGATAGCACTTGAGCGCTCGGGAGTGAGGTAGCTGTACCAGAGGTGCAGAGACGGGAAGGGCTTTCTCTCCAGGATTCCGTGACCTGGCCATCCATCTCACAGTGTAAACAAAACTAAAAATATTCCAAGAATCCCATCCCATATGTAAAGCGAGGTGAGGGAGAGTGGAGGTTCTGTCTGAGGAAGTTCCCAGGCAGGGGTTGGAATCAATCCCAGACCCGAGGCTTTCTCTATAGCCTTCCTGCATCATTCCTGAGTAGGAACTTAGGAGCCCTCTTGGAAGAGGAAGACCCAGCCTGGTGCCCTGGCAAATGCTACTGTGATAAAGGGAAGAGGCTGGCTCAGCCCCGAGTTTTGGTCTGGCGACCTTGCTGACCAGCTGAGTGACCACTGGAAACGCTACCTATCTACTGGTGGCCTATGAGCTTTCCCTTCTTGTGCTGATTGAGCCAAGGCCTCTGCTCCCACCAATGCCCCATATGGAGGGTATCAGCACTTGACCCTTGAGCATTTGACAAATGGCTCCTTCTCAAATGTTCCTTGCATAGGGGATCAGGGAAGAGAGGTGATACTTTCTTAGATCACCATCTTACTCATGGATTCTTGCAATTTGTGTGGTCATTAGGGTTTTTTTCTCACTTATAACTGGAAGTTTTAGGGCAAAAGCCCTGTTTCCAGCATCCCCGACCTGTTGGGCTTGGTCATCCATCCATCTCAAATACCAATGAAAGAACAAGACATTTTTAATATGGCCACACTGAGATGAGGAATAGGTGAAGGGTCTAATGACTCTGAGGTCATCTTTAGGGTACAGCCATGAGCTTTTAGTCTAAATAGAGATAGGACCAGAACATTGGTGGCACATGCCTTTAATTCCAGTGATGGGGAGGCAGAGGCCCTGGAATCTCTGTGAGTTCGAGTCCAGCCTGGTCTACAGGGTGGGTTCCAGGACAGGCTCCAAAGCAATACTGTGGAATCCTGCATCAGTTTCCCAAACACCTCTTCTTGCCTCTGGCATTCTCCCTTCCACACTGGCATGGCTCTTCAGGCAATGAACTAGTGTTGAGCACCAACGTGGGGCCAGTGCCGTAAGGGGGAAATGTCATCCCCCAGTGATTTCTAGTTGAAGGGCTAAACACTGACTTGCTGAGTCTTTGAGGAGGGTTCTTTCGTATCCCACGGCCGTCTGATGGCCCAGACCTGTGGCCTGGAATGGGAGTTGTTCCTGTTTGATTGATCCTCACTTTTCTTGTTTCCTCCCGGGGTCTTGGGTAAGAAACCGCTTCTCAGTTATCACCGAAGACAGTGCTCATGGCCCGTGGAACCTTCCACAGACACCTCGCACTGAAGAGACCTACCTTAGGCAGAACAGGTCTCTCTGAAGACCAGCTCTGTCTCAGGACTGCACAGTGGGTTTGCAGACACGCCGCTCCTGACTCCAAAGAGTAACGACGACCAAATGCTGAGGAAGGCGATTTCCTTATCGCCAAAGACAACTGTTGTGTTGAAGTAACAACAGCCATATGGTATCTTATTAGGAGGAATTTAGGATAATGGGGTTACCCACTGGCTCTTGCAAACGCAAACATGTAGCGATGATGAACTGAATTTCATCCAAGAGAGCTGACAGTAAGTAAGCAAAGGCACTTATTCTAAAGGACAGCCTGACCCGTACCTGAGTCCAGTCATGGGTTCCAGAAGCTGAGAGAATGATAGGAAGTATCAGGTCATAGTACCAAAAGTGGGCATATCTAATATGTCTAGCCACCCCAGGACAGAGTCTGTCTGAGGGGAATCGTTCTGGTGATTAATTGATATAGCAGGACCAAGCCCATTGTGGGCAGCATCATCCCTAGGCAGGCTGTCCTGACCTATGTAATAAAGCTAGCTCACTGTGGACCTTCAGCGTATTCTCTTCTGTGGACCTCCTGGGCATTCCATCCCTTTCTCCCTTTTAATGTGTTGCTAATGCTCCATGAATACCTGGCAGTCATGACCCAGATCTGTGTTGGCTCCTAGTTCCTCTGTCATTGGGAAGTCATGGTATTTGTTCTTCTATCTATCACGAGGTACAGCCACACAGGACAGGGCCGTGGGCAGGGAGAATAGGAAGCAAGAGGGCTGTCCAGGGTGCTCGACCCCTCCTCCAAGAAGAATGGGCAGGGCCAGAAGCATTTGGATTGAGATCTCCCTAGGAGTCGTAAGAGAATTCAAGGGCATGAAAGGGGAAAGGAAGGATCAAAAGCTTGGCCAATCTGTCCTTGGGGACTACATCATGCAAAATGGTTCTGTGGGTTGACCTCCATGGTCCCTACAGAGAAGGTCTCAGCGCTACTACTCTTGTGAGATCTTGTAAGGAAGTGCGGCTCTTTAGACCCCCATTCTTCCTGGCGGGGGGAGAGAAAGGGAGTCCAAAGCGTTTCACAGGGATGCAGCAGCTTCTCAACCGTGGGTTCAAGCATTCATTCAGCAGACCACTTTTGGAAAACAATGACTTTCAAAACACAAGAATTAAAATCACAGAAAGAACATAGCGTAGTGGTTCACCCCAGTGAAGAGAGAACTTGGAAGGTGGCGGTGGGAGAATTAGGAGTTCTAGGCTACCCCTGACTCCACGGCAAGTTTGAGGCATCAGGGCATAACATCTGACGTTAGTGACTTCCGGAAGTATGAGAAGACGTTGACCTCTAGTGAATTAGTAAAGGGGATAGCAGCAGCAGCAGCAGCAGTGGCATCCATAGATTCTTTTTATTCCCTCCAACATAATATTTTTATTGATTATTTGGGGATTTTCACATAATGTACTCTGATCACACTCACTTCTAGTCCTTCCAGAGTCTGTTCCCCACACTCTTGTGATTCCCCCACCCAAGAAGAACAAGGAGAAGGAGAGGAAGAAGAAGAGAAGAGAAGAGAAGAGAGGAAAGAAAGAAAAGAAAGAAAACAAAACAAAAAAACTCAAGTCCAATTTATGAGGTCTGTGGTGTGTGCCATGTTGAAGTCCGCAGTCTGTGCTCCCCTGTAAAGGGTAAACCAGCTACTTCTGCAGTGGTCTGGATGACCGCAGACTCACAGTTGAGAAAGAAGGACATAGAAACCTTCTGTGATAACCCCCTACCAACCCTACCCTCAAAATAGCAGCCTGGACAGGAAGCCATGTAAGAAAACTCTTACAAACTGTGACAAGCATGCTGAAGTATAGCTTCTGGCAGGAGTGTGGGTAGGGAAGGAGCCAGTTTGGGAGTTTCGCCGTGTGTAGGTTCTTAAGAGCTTGGCGGGTAGGTGAGCCCCTTCCTCCGTCTACAGGCTCCTAAGGGGAGCCATTGGGAGAGCACTGTCTGGTTATATAGAGCTGCGAATGTTTTCCCCATCAGACCTAGGATATGAACTTGTGGCCTGGGATCGCCTACTTGTGGAATGGGCAATGCACTTGCTGTTCCTGGCAGGTGTGAGCTCAGAGTGACTGTTTCTTTGGAGCCTGTTCACTGACTGTTCTGGGTTCCCGAGGAGCCCACTGTCTTCTGCTCAACAAGAGGTTTTTGTTTTTTGTTTTTGTTTTTTAAATTTCTCTTGCTTCTTTTTCTCCCCACAAGTTCTTGAGGGTCGACCAAGACAAAGACAGAGACTGTAGCCTGGACTGCTCAAGCTCCTCCCAGAAGCCTCTCTGTGCCTCCGACGGGAGGACCTTCCTGTCCCGATGCGAGTTCCAGAGAGCCAAGTGCAAAGACCCACAGCTGGAGATCGCCCACCGTGGGAATTGCAAAGGTGAGCAGTGACGGCCATGGCCAGAAGAGAGGGTCGGTGTGTGTGCAGAGGTCGTGAACAATGGACCTGTTCTCACACTTAACAGCTCAGAAGTTTCATACTGGCAACTATTTCTCAGAGCATGCAATTTTTTTCTATGAATTTCAAAGTAGTGATATTTTTTTGGGAGTTTCATGTAGTCCAGGTTAGCCTGGAACTTACTATGTAGCAAAGGCTGGTCTTGAACGGCTGGCCCCTGTCCTTCTACCTCCAGAGTAGCTGGGGTTAAAGGCAGCCATACCTGGTTTATGCTCTGCTGGAGATGAAAACAAGGACCTCTTCCATGCCAGGCAAGGGACTCTACCAACTGAACTATCTCCAGTCACAAAGCAGTTACTTTTACAGGTTGTCCAATGCTCCCAAAGTGTTTCACGTTGCCATGAGACCAGTTTCTCACAGTGCTTCAGGTTGGTTGGTCGATTTCTTCTTCCCTCACAGTGCCTCTAACATTATGATCAGCTCTCCTTTCTCAGCGAGCCAGCGAGGCTCACTCCCTGTCAGTCAGTTCGGAGTAGACTTTACCAATGAGCTTGTCCGCCTTCTGATTAGCAAGTCGATCAATCCAGAGTTGAGGCTTAAGAGTAAGCCTGGAAAAGCTTCCCACAGTAATGAAGGGTTCTGCTTTAGCGGCAAGCACACACAGTGCTTTCAAAGGGGATTTACTTTCTCTAAATCTCTGGGAAAGAAGACCACACAGACTAAACTGGCCTTGAGAAGATGTGTGTTGATGAACCATTAACCCCGACAATCTTCCCATCTAAACAGCCTGACCACATCAAGTGCCACCGGGGCCACGCCTCTGCCTGCAATTAACCAAGTTGCCGAATTGTTTACCCTTGCAGACACAGGTCCATAGTTGTAGTAGGACAGACCTGGGTCGCTGTTGCAGGTGATGCAGACAGACTGACTATCCCGTAGCTCAGAGAACTAACTCCCCCGCTGAGGAGCTCAGATGCCTCCATTTGGGCCAGCTATGGCAGGGCACACCTGCAATCCCAGCACTTGGGAAGCTGAGGCAGGAGAATCCTGAGGTCAGGTCTTGCCGGGCGGGGCTACTTATTGAGATGGGCTGTGGGGGTGGGGGGCTGGGGTAGCTCAGGGGCAGCATGCTTGCCTAGCATGAATGAAACCCTGGGTTCAGTGCCCACAACTGAAACTAGCCATGGTAGCTCACGATCATAAGTCCTTCATCTTGGGAGGGTGATGAGGACACCTTGAATTCAAGGCCAATACGGCTGCATGGGGAGACCCCCGTTTCATTGAAACAAAACAAATACCCAGCTCTACAACAAAATATCCAGTACTACAAAATAGCCCAGTGGTGACCATCTGCCTTCCTTAGTGGTTATGAGGGAAAGAGAACATTTAGAAAAAATGTCATTTGCAAATAACTATTTTTTTTTTTTTTTGAGACAGGGTTTCTCTGTGTAGCTCTGGCTGTTCTGGAACTAGCTCTGTAGACCAGGCTGGCCTTGAACTCAGAGGTCCACCTGCCTCTGCCTCAGAGTGTTGGGATTAAAAGTGTGTGCCGCTGTCGACCAGCACAAATGGCATTCTTTATTCATCCCTAAACATCCAGCCCCTAAACAAAACCCTCAATATCAGCTTATTGACTCTCATCCACCTGACATTTCATATTATTATTTTGTACTACTGCTGTTCATCTCTGGACATTTAGCTTGTAGTAAACTGAATATTAGTTTTAATTTCCTCAGGGGAAATTTTATGTGTGTAAACTTGAGACCTCTAAAAACATAATGGGAGAAGCAGTCAGATGTGACACCTCTCCAAAGTAAGTTTAACTTAAATAGAAAGGATTACAACAAAAATACCACAGACTCTAGCAGCCTTCTGAGTTGTGTTTATGTTAGGGCTGCAGCCAGCCCAGGCAGAAAATCCAGACCTGGAGGAGAGGGTACCCTCCACACATGTATTCTTAAAGACAGGCGGACATCACATGTCTCTGGCACACTGGGCTATAGGTGAGACCCTAAGATTTGCTCCTGTCTGTGGTGAGTGAATTTTATCTGCTGGGGTAGACCTTCACCTAGTACCTGGCTCATAGTAGGAGTAAGGAATTAGCACAGGATCTGGGATCTTTGCCTAGGGTGGCTTACACCACCAGGTGTTGCTGACCAGGTCCCTGAAGTCCCCGGTATGTGAACCTGTATGTCAGTCATGGGAGAAATGGCTTATGGGAATGGGCCCCATGTCAGAGACCCAGGCACAGCATTGGATGCCACAGAGTGAACTGTACCAAGACTGTCAATTTCTCTCCCTTTTCAAAGACAACAAAATTCATGGGCTCTACAAGACCCATTCGAGCCTCGCTCCCCTGAGCTAGATGAAGAGGCAGGAGATCAAGATCTCCTTTATTTATTGCCCTTCACGAAGTACAGTGTCCACCCGCCTTTCCTTGTGTTCTGCTGGCGTGGAAGCTGGCCACACTGTGGAGCATCCCACTATAATTGGCATCTGTATTTTGAGGCTATTTTTTTTTTTTTACATATTTTGTGGGTGACAGATTCATGGGACTGTCTCGTTTGCGTGTGCTGGTTTGGAAACAACAACTAAAATGCTTTATTCCACATTTAATTAAATAGAATTAAAATGTTGTCCGTGTCTCATGTCATGATTTGACATTGACCCCGACTGGAATTGCAGTGGTTTAGACGGATGGATTTTTCTCGTGTTTTCATAGAAATTTGTGGAGTTTGTGTTTTCAGAACTCAGCAAACACATTAATATTTTTTCTTTTGATCTGAGACCAATATGGCTGCTTTTCTTTTCAACAAAAATCTCTGGAACTGAGTTAAAAAAGAAAAAAAGAAGGGGAGAAAATAAAGGAAAAGGTCACATGCTAGGAAAAACCTTGGAATTATTTTGAGATTTCTGGGAACAATGCTATACTAGATTTCTGAAAACAGCTCGCTTGAAGGTCTCTAGACCAATGGCTTGACGCGGACTCATGTGGGGTAAGAGAGAGAGATGTAGATATTTGATTTTCAGCCCAGTCCTCCTGTGCCCAGCACTCATCCGTACCAGGATCCTTGGCATAGGAGAGACAAACCCCTTGGCTTTTGGGAAAGCCTAAGGTGCCTGAGTTCACAGGGTGGTCACAGGCAGATGACCCCATGACAGGAGTAAAATGTTGTCCTCGTTCTGAGATTGTGGAGTTCTCACTGCCAGGACAGGTCAACAGTGCCCTCAGCATCATTATCTAATAGAGATCAAAAATGGGCTCTTAAGCCCTCACCCAGCTGTTCTGAGCCCCTCAAGACAGGGAGCCCAGAGCTGGGGAGGTCCAGGAGTCAGGACCCTCTGACAGTGGAGTGGAGAAATGTCTGTTTCCCTTTGAGACAGGCGTGAACCCCAGGAGTTCTCCCCATCTGAGGGTTTCCTCAGATACTTCTAACACACTTCTACTAATGGGCAACTGGCAAACTAGAAACCGGGTCACTAGTTCCAGTACTTTCTGGGCACACTCGTGACCCCACCTTTGAAGACAACCCCTGGTGGGTGGTAAAGGAGACACCGAGGCAGGCTAGGAAGAAAGCAGCCTCACGTGGGACTGTGTTGACCCACAGGAATAGCTTGGATGGTTCTTCTGACTGCCGCCGAGATGGGTGGGCCCATCTGTACTCCACCCAGCAAAACGGCTTTCAATGAGAGCTCAGTGCAGGGGCGAGGGCACACGTGTGCAGGTGTTTGTGTGTGTCGCTGAACACAGGCGCAGGTGTGAGCAGGCACACGTGTACACGGGTGAGCACGCAGGATTCAGTGTGGGTGCAGCGAGGGAGAGGGTGTGCTTAGCTTTGCTCCCGAGTGTGGTATGAGAGTCTGTGGCTCTCTCTCTCTCTCTCTGTCCAGTACCTGCCCTGCATTTCTTCGTTCCCAGGGATATATACAGTCTTCGGGGACAGCAGCTCTGTCCTAGGATTCCCTAGCCCTGCCTGTTGGTCTCTTTGCTGCAGCCCCACTTGCAAATCCATAGACTTGAGAAGCCAAGGCACTGTCAGGCAAAAGTCATGGGATCTCAAGCTGGAGGAGACAGCCTTTCCTGTCTGCTCCAGCTCCGCTGTGATCTCAGGATGCGGCCCCTGCACGGGGAAATTGAAGTCCTCAAGCATGCTCTCCCTCTGGAGGGATCCCGGCACGACATCACCCATTTTGATGGGCCGGCAGTGACATTGTTTCTTGTGGGAGAGATGCGCTGCTGTAGAAACCATCCCTCTTTTAACTCACCCCTTACCTTCATGCCCTTTCACAGTGGTGACTGCATGCGCTGCTCCCTATTTCTAGACTCTTCTATAGCTCGTGAATTTAGGACGAAAGTTTTGTTTCTGTTTCTCTAATTCTATAATCACATTTTTTCCCCCGTTGTTGTAGTCATAGGAAGTTAAACGGGCTAACCGTTCTGCTGTTACCAGCGCAGGACAAAGCTGTTTTAGCTGATTGCTTCTAGAAACAACAGTGACTTGCCTCTGGTTCCCAACACAGCACCCCATTGTATAGATGGGAAGTTTGCTTTCAAGCCAAGGGTCACTGAAGTATTGTCCCCGCCACACACAAGTCTGGCCTTAAATTACATGCGGGTAAAGTGTAAGTATTGCAGCTTAGGAACACAGTGTATGCCTCTATTTGAGGCCAGCCGTAAACATCAAAGGCAGGCTGTCCTCTGTCATTTCTGTGGCCACTACTCACAGCCACAGGGAAGAGCAGCGAAAGCTGTTCCTGACCCCAGAGAGTTCATATGGCCAGCCATGGCAGTAACCATGACAACCTAGTGGCCCATAGACTCAGATCTGCCAAGCCAATTCCAAGACTGGTGTGCCTGCCCTGTCCCATTCTAGAGACACCGAGGCATTTACCAATCTCCAACAGGAGTTGGAGCTGCGCAAGACATGTTAGAGGCTGTCCTGGTTTCTTTTAGCTTTGGTGGGTTTTTTGTTGTTGTTGTTTTTTGTTTTTTGTTTGTTTGTTTTTGTCATTTTGACACAGGAACCTTAGTTGAGAAAAAAAGTCTCCATTTTTTGTGGGTGCTCTAAGAAAGCAGGTTGAGCCATGTGGAGCAGACCAGTGAGCAGCTTTCCTCAAGGCTTCTGCTTGAGTTTCTTCCCTCGGGCTCCTGCTTGAGTCCCAGGCTCCCCCCACCCCGCAAAGTTGGACTGAATAAAACCTCTGCTTTCCAAGTGGCTTTTGCTCACAGTGTTGACCGTAGCGATTGAGAGCCAGCGAAGACAGGGGGCACTATTCGGAGTTTGGCATGCAGCATCTCAGCACGAGCAGGAGTAAACAGAGCCCTAGGAATGTTGCTCTTCACTTGCTTCTGCTGAACAGGGTCCCCGAAGGACCACGAGCTGTCTTTCTGAAAGTACCCCCCCCTCCACTACTCTACCGGAACTCTCTCTCGCTGAGATTCCTTGGTAGAAGCCATCTCTTCCAATGCCTGCTTGATTCTCTTCTGAGTGGTTTCAGCAAGAAGGAAAATTATTTGCTTCCTATTTAAAAAAAAAAAAAATAGCATAAACAACCACAGCAAACCTCTGTCCATTTGCTTCTTCATAGCAAGCATCGCAGTTTCTGGGCTAATATAAATTTAGATGCGAGCAGTCATGTGACCCGACTGGGTTTTATTTTACTCTCCAGTTGAGACTTGGGGGGGGGGAGTTGTTTCCAAATGTATTAGTATTAATCAACAATTTATCAAAAACTTCTGTTTGGATATTGCTAGTGGAGCCTTGCTATTTTATTTGTAATGTCTTGGTTCTTTCGGGTCAGAGCAAAAGGTCTCCAAAAAGCCTAATTAAAATTTTCACCAAAGGTATTTTCTCTGTTCTAGTAAAAAGTAAACTACATAAAATTAGGTGGTTAAATTATTAGTATATTTATCTAATCGGAATTTTCTTATGTGTATATGTCTGTGTGAATGTATTTTTGTTTGGGTGTCTGTGTATATGCTGTGGTGTGTGTGTGTGTGTGACTCCCAATGGAAGCCAGAAAAGAGTGTATAGGATCTGGTGGGTGAAGAAAAACTGGTCTCCTTTCTTCAAGAGTGTTGGATCCCCTGGAGCTGGATTTCTACATGGTTGTGAGCTGCCCAATGTGGGTGCTGAGAACTGATCTTAACCTCTGAGCCATCTCTCCAGCCCTAGTGAGAACATTTAAGATTGGGATTCCTAATTAAATTGAGTTTTCCTATGACATAGAAATTAACCATAGTTTTAAAAGTACCAAACCAGTTGTATTTACTAAGATGGCCAGGGCAGTTTGAAAGAGAGAAGAGATAAATATTGGCAAATGTAAAGGTGGAGTGTAGAAGCCCTCAGCAGCTCTTCCACTAACGAGAGAGTCAACTGTGACACAGCAATTCTACCCCTGCGCTTAAACCCAGAGGACAGGAAAGCAGGCACTCAGAGCTGACCTGCAGATGTCCTGTGTGGCATGTACATGGTACCAAAGGATGGGGGGGGGGAGGTCAGCCAGTGTGTGCTAATGGACGCCTGGGTGAATCAATCAGCAAACGCTGGCACCTGGTCCATCGTGCAGCTGGGGTTTGCTGTGAGAAAGTGTGGGCGTGTGGCTCTTCACACAAAATGTACAGAGTAGGAAAATCTCTAGATGGAGAAGGGACTGGGGTGGAAGGTGTCTATGTACTGGACACACCAGATTCTTTCCAGTGGGATAGCGATGCCTTGGAGCTGGAGAGGATGGAGGCTGCAGAGTGCTGTGGTCTCCCCTCATCAGAAATGCAGTAAATACCACTGATCTGAACTGGAAAATGGCTAAAGGGAGAGATGTTTTATGTACTGTTCAGTGGTACCACAGTCATATTTACTTAGCTTAGGTTTTGAGGATTTAATATTCACAGAAACAAAAGGCCCAGGGTAAACCATCTCAACAAGGCCCCCAAATAGGAGAGTTGTTTACTTCCTAAAGTAGTAAGTATAATATAGAAGTAAAAAAACAGTAAGATAAATTTAACACCAGTCAATGAGACTCTGATAAAATAATATTTATATTCTGTTCTTTCAAAATTGACTGAGGATTTAGGTTTGGGAAAATATAATATTCAAGGCGTATAAAATTTTGATTTCTGTGTAGCTGTATACATCAGGGGCATAACTGTTTAGAATCGGGAGATGCTGCCATTTTGGGCCGCAAGTCCCCCACAAATTATGCCACAGGAGGATAGATCTCCGTGGTGGGGACATTGAACAGACTTAACAGGAAATGTCCAGACAGTGAGGCATGGCAGACAGACGGCCTTGGCTATCAGGGTGTGGTAGGTATCTGACGCTTTGATTTTTCCTATGATAAACTAGCCTGGGGGAAGCCAGCCATGAACTTGGAATGAGCATCCCATTACACAGAATTTCAAGAGTGAGAATTGAACACAGGTGACACAGAGTCCTTAAAGAAGTTCAAGCCAAGGACACAAGCCAAGGACAAAGACCACAAATTATTTCAGAAAATTATACTCTTCTGGAATGATCCACGATGGCTCAAATATTAAGAATTAACATACGGTTCTATCTTTTCCCTAGCCGAGACCCTGCAAGCTAAAGCTCATATCATTTTCCTTTTAGACAGAGAGACCACAGGTTGTTCAATAATAATAATAATAATGATCCAGCAAATCCGTGGTTTCTGCTCTGTGAACACAGACTGCGTTGAAACCAAGTACTGGTCCAAAGAGATGCTCATTCAGTAAAGGGATTTCTTAGAATCATGAGGACCTGAGTTTATTTCCCAGTACCCATATAAAAGCTAGACATAGCAGTGTATGCTTATAATCCCTACTTTGGGAAAGACAGAGAGAGGCGGGGGTGGGAGAGGAATTCCTTGGAGCTTTCTGGCCAGCTGGCCTAGACAAATCTGTTCAAAGAGAGAAACCGTGTTTGAAAGGTAGAGATGTGGAAGACAGAATGTAACCTCTGACCTTCACAGGCACAGGTGTCTCCACAACCTCATTAAACTGTATACCAGGAGCACCAGATGCCGGGCCGGAGGCCAGGAAGGCTGGAGGCTAGAGTAGGTGCAGGGTGCCTCTCAGATGTGCAGCTCTATGACAACTGTGTCTGTTGTGTCAGTGACACAGCGGACACACAGACAAAGTCTGGACGGCCCTCAGCAAGCTTTGCTCCACCTCTCTGCAGCATCGTGAGATGGGTCACAGTTAGTGTTAGATCCACACCCGAAACCTCCTTGCTGGCATCGGAGAAGAGCCAGGAATTCACCTGTGGTTCTCAGATGCCTGTCAGGTCCTGTTCTGGTCAACAGAAGGGGGGTGGGGGGACCCTTCGCTCTCCTTATTTGAGTACTCAATTCATCTGTGCTATAATGTTCACGTGCAAATACATGCTTTTTTCCCCCCTAGAGGGAAATCAAATGTACTTTAAAAATTTTAAATGACATTACCTTATTTATATTTATTTGCATGTATGTCTATCTTTCCATGCATCCATCCATCCATCCACCTAGTGTGTGTGTGTGTGTGTGTGTGTGTGTGTGTGTGTGTACATGCCATAGTACACAAATAGGGGTCAGAGAACAACTTATGAGACTTGTTTTGGGTTTGTGGTTTTTTTTTTCCTTCCACATGTGGGTCCTTGGAATTGAACTGAGGTCAATAAGCTTGTTGGCATGTACCTTTACTGGCCTTAAATGTACCTTTTTATTCACGTGGGGTACTAATCCCAGGCCCTGATGTACACAAGCACTGTTTTACCCCTGAACTCCTTGCCTAGCCTGCTTAGATACTTTCAAACTTACCTGTTTATTTATTTACTTATTTTTATCAGTCATCAAGTCCCTGGAGTTCTTATGTTTCCTGTCACTAAATAAATCACTGAGACATCCTCATTTTTTTTTTTAACATGCACTGTGGGATGTTTAGCTTTTTATCATCATGTTTCCCTGACTGTTTGGTACAGGTTTTAAGGTCCTAGAGACCAAGATACAGAGGAAAGAGATGAGTCTTGACTCCTTCTGGAGGGAGTCTGCCAAGTGTTGGGCTACCGTAGGATGTCAGGTCCCAAGAAGTGAAGGGCATAACACCTGCCTGCCTCTAAATTGGTTACCTCTGATTTGAGTTACACTGTGTCTTCTGGGCTCCCGTATACATCTGGATTCATCCTGCCTTTTTTTTTCCAGGAAGTCAGACTTACCTGCTCCCCACAGACACATTCTGGGAGTATTCCCAGTCTCCATTTTCCTTCTACACAGTGAGGGGAATGAACCTTTTTCTTCCCAGCTCTTGTGAGATTGAGAGGGCGGTCCTTATCAGCCCTGTGGGTCAGGCAGTACCCTCGGCAGCTTGTACTTGCCTCTTAGAATGCCATCTTTGTCTCCCCCTCCTGCCCTGGTCTTCCCACAGATGTGTCCAGGTGTGTGGCTGAGAGGAAGTATACCCAGGAGCAGGCCCGGAAGGAATTCCAGCAAGTGTTTATCCCGGAATGCAACGATGATGGCACCTATAGTCAGGTGACTCTTGATAGATACAAGCCTGGGTTGTTGTGGCCCAGGTGCCAAGGACTGCGGCGGGGAGGGTGGTGGTGAAGGGGAAGGAGCTTGGGCTGTTGGTTCTGAGATGGTGGGCTCAGGAGCCTCACAGGGTCACCAGGTACGTGAGGGAAGATTTGAGAGCCCAGCTGGTGCAGGTCACATGCATTCTTGTGCTGCATGGAAACGGCATTGGAAACTCTCATGGAGACTCACCAGCCCTGGTCAACTGGCTGAGCTCTGGCTCTGGTTGCAGCTTAGCTCACCCGTGAGCTCCACGGCTCGGTCATTCCAGAGTCCACACCGGAATGTTGCTACCTCGACTACCTCGAGTCATGGCTTGTCTGTGGTCATGCTGGACAAACCCGGTGTCAAAAACAGCTTGGTTCTGAAGGACAGAGTTGGTAGGGTCAGAGAGAGAGAGAGAGAGAGAGAGAGAGAGAGCTGCCTACAGTATACCACCAGTATAGTAGTTTCTAGGGACAGCAAAGGTATTCTGTCATCAACACCTATGACCTCATGGGTAGTGAGTCTACCAGTCTCAGCATAGTCATGTGACATCGGGGAGCTGAGGGGAGGAGCTGGCACTGCTGGATGTCACCTATGATGTAGTCACCTGAGGGTCAGACAGAGGGCCCTGGGGGACCTAGAAGATGCTGCAGAAATAGGTCTTCACTGCTGGACACTTGTCAGCCATGGGCTCACTGAGAGATGCTGGGGAACCTCCTCCTGGCTCCTCCATGTGTGAGGAGAGGGCCTGACGTTCTTTGCAGCCGGGGCCCAGCTCTCATGTAGGAAAGTACAGTTCCCTTTTTCTCCTGCACACTTCTGTGGTGAGGCTCACCATACAGCTTCCTTCCACTGAGTATCCAAATGCATCACCCAAGCCTCACAGCAGCCATCCCAAGGCCTCTGAGGTGACTCTGCAGGGGAGTGTCTGTGGTTAGCTCACCTTCCTGTCTTGTCTCTGCAGGTCCAGTGTCACAGCTACACGGGTTACTGTTGGTGCGTGACACCAAACGGAAGGCCCATCAGCGGCACCGCTGTGGCCCACAAGACACCCAGGTGCCCTGGTAGGTCTCACTAACGTTGGCTCCACAGAAAATTATTTTCTGTTTCCCTTGGTCGTGCCAGTTATATTTATTCACAAATCAAAAGGACATTTAGAGAGTGGGGGTGAGCTCACTGGACACATCATCCCATGTAGACCTGAAGAAAACAACCAGGGACTATTGTCTACCTGCTGTGCAGGGGACAGCTCACCCCAGGGACACACTGGGCTTGAGTCATTTGAAAATATAACCGCAGAGGCTCGAGTCACCGGCTTGAATGACCCATTGTTTTCTTTGGCCAAAAAAAGCAAAAAGATCCCGCTTTTATATACATGGGTTTTCAAAGAGAAAGTGGATCATTCCTCACAGTTCAGTTTCCAGACGTTTATGTGTGATATTTTATTACTCAGACGGGAGCTTGATGTACTGAAAGTAACAAGTCTGGCAGGCCCAGTCTATAAAATGGTCCCTTTTCCATTAATATTTTTACCAAAAAAGGTTATAAATGATTCAGATCATTTTTATGCGAAAACAATCTCCAGCCCGGGCCTGACTAACTTGCCGGGGAGAGTATCTTATGAAACCGAATGATCTTGTCATCTAAGTTTCTGGGCTGTAATACGAAAAGGCAAACGTATCAGTGGCTAGCAACGTAAAACAAGTCTGTCGTTTTTAAGGGTTGAAATGTTAGTGTTTGGAGTTACCGTCAGATTCAATTTCTATTTAAGGGCAGGCACTGGCTGTCGAGATTCTGTTTGTTATTGTGACCCAGGCAGAGGGACTGGGCACAGGTCAGAGCTCATTCCCGTGGCCTTAGTACCATGTGACAAATCCTATATTTCGATGACCATTCATCTATTAAACAAACCCATGTGAGGTGTGTCGTGCTGAAATGCGTTTATTTCAAGGCTGTTTTGCCATTGGAGCCTATAAAGTGCTAGTCCCCCCCCCCACTTCGAGCTATTGTTTACGTTGAATAGTTCCTGTACAAATGTGTGGAGGAAAACATATGAAGTAGAAATGGGTAGCGCCACGTGGGTCTTGGTGTGAATGCCATCTCACGTAGCTCTGTTTTCACCTGAGTCCGTGTTTTGCACGGACCCTGCTCTCATAGGAGAAGGCAAAGAACATGGCGATATCCATGATGCTAGCCATGTTGTCAGGAAAGCTGAGTTCTCCGTGAAACAGCTCACTTAAAAGTGGCGTGTAAGCTTGCTGAGGTATTGCATACTGCTGGAACAGCCCTTGCTTCTGGAATAGTGTGTGTGTGACTGCATGCAAACACGCCATGCTCATTGTTTACACTGACATTGCAGAGGAGGGAGTAGCCTGGCCCTTTGCTTAAAAGCCCAGTGTAGTTCTTGGGTAGGAAGCAAAGGGATTAGGTAAAAAGTTTCAGCTCAGTGTAGTGGTCCCCACCTGTAAACCTAGCTCTCTGGAGAAAGAGGTAGGAGAATGATGAGTCCTAGGCCAGCCTGGACTACGTATGAAGACTTTGTCCCAACAAACAAACAAATGCAGGGCTCTTTGGGATAGCTGCCCACTTTGAGAGGGTACTTTGTGTGCCTCATGTTTAACTGGCTCTTCCATTCCTCCATAGTGAGGCTGAAGCCCTTTCCCACCAGGTTGGTTAATGACTGGTGAATCCGTGGGCCCCTCAGAGCAATGTGCGAGACTTTCATTCTGCAAACCCATGGGAATGACTGAGCTGGAATTATTTCTTTAACGTTTCTGGAGACATTATTGGGCTGCAATGAACAACTAAGGGGTTTTGAAATTTAAGGGAGGGCTGTGGGAGAATTGAGCATCCCATGCTCAGCCCACAGAGACAGAATTAACAATGCATCTGCGTATAATACAATGGACTCCTTCTTACATGATGGCACAGCCTGATGGAGTAGTTGTCACTTTACTTTGGTCTGGGACTCACAGTAGGCTAGATGGTCCTGGCTTCACCTGCACACTGCAGGGAGCTTGTGCTTTGGATATGCCCACCACATCAGCAGCCAGCAGACGAATGGTTCATACTGTCCTCCAGTTAGAAATCATCTGTTAAAATCAGGTAGAACTTCAGAATCCAGTACTTATCTTCTGCCTTCAAATTCACACCAAATTCACCATATAGGCTCTATAAAACTGGAAGCCAAATGAGATTAAAAATGAGTAGAAGACAGTAAATTTCTGTTATAAAGTGTGTATGTGTATGTGTGTAGATGCATGTATGTGCATGTTTACATTGGGTGTATGTGTGTGTGTACGTATGTGTATACATATATGTATGTGTGTATATGAATTTGTGTCTGTGTGCTTATTAGGGCCATATGTTAAGATGCACTGTAGCAAACAGGTAGGAATAGGATTGGGTATCACTTGTAGGTCTGTATCCAGTGGCATGGAGCAGAACCCTTCCTCAAGTCCTTCTACCCTTAGTTGCACAAGAGAGACATGGGTGAGGCATGAACAATTGTATGTTAGAAGCCTCGGATGCAGAATACCTCAGTTCCAAAGCAGTCAAAGCAGAGGCATTTTCTAGAGGAAAGTGTCCTTATGTCTTAGTGCAGGGCAGCTCGGGTTAGAATCCCAGGAAGACTCTCAGAACAGGGGCCTGGAGACAGAAACACAGCAGGTGACTCCGTGGTGAGCTGGTAAGGACAGACAGGGAACCACCCAAGCGCTGTGTATGCCAGTCACTTAGGGTCCTGCTCTTTCCTTCTGGGATGGACCCTGGAGAAACACAGATGCATGCTGCAGATGTGTGGCAGCCCTGAGACACCAATGCTGTAAATACCAAACCCGGGGGACTGGGTCTGTTGGTGTCTGTAGGATAAAGCACCGCAGAGTGCTAGAGTCACACAGGATAAACAGCAGTGCAGACAGATACACCCCGTCTCCTTCACTGGTGCCATGGTGCCGACATCTGCGTGAGTCAGAGAAGCCACAGGAAAACACAACACAGGGCAGGGGATTTACAACTCTGAGCAGACAAAACCTCTAGCCTGGAGGTGTCCTGTAGTGACCACAGGGGACAGACTGACAGGATGGACATAGAGCAGGAGGGGCTTATCAGATTGGTTTACCTTATACGATCTGGGTAGTCCCACAGTGGCTGTCTTCAGACCCGAGTAGCTGATCAGTCTGTGAGGCTGGATGGCTCCACAGGTCCAATGTGGTGCCAAAGGCCTGGAGATTTCCTGGGCCATCACTGGCCTTCAGATATGTTGGAAGTTGGGTTCTGGCATCTACAAAGGAATGTAGCAACAGTGGCTCAGCAACCGAAAGGCAATGAGGCAAAAGGTCCACCTTTTAGGAAGGTGAGATCTACATGTGGGATGTACCTTCCCATTTCAAAAACTCTGATCAAAAAAGCAATCCCTCACAGGTATCCCTGAGTAGCTTAGGTGTTAGTTGCTTCCAGATCCAATCTCCTTGAACATTTCTGTTTATATTTTGAATGCCGATTCACAATTGTCTTGAGGGATCAAGACGGAAATGGCCTAATTCCTCTTTTTAAATGAATATGAAAGAGTCAGCTTCCACCTTGCCAACCTCCCTTGATGGCCACTGTTGGCGCTAACAAGTGGCCTTCAACCAGTGACCTCCCTATCCTGATTCCTGGGTGGAGGCCTGGGTGTGGGGGACAGGGCTTTGGGGAGGTTAAGCCAGCTTTAACCTTTTCCTCCTAGCTCGCTCTGTCTTATTCCTCAGTGGGCATTCCTGAGCCTGTGGGCTCTGTCTCACCACAGGGCAGTGCTCGCCCAGTTCTTGTAGTCCTCCTGTCTAGACTTGTTTTTCAAGAAGCCCACTCACAGTTCACTGTTATTGCAGCTATTGCCAAGCACTGGCCACCGGGGAGCTGGTAGTGAGTGGCGCTTGGCAGACACTGGCATAGCCTGGAGCCTGGGCCAGCTGTGAACAAGCACCACAGGCACATACAGGATGCCCTTAGCTCTGTCCAGTAAAATTCAGAAACGCACCACAGAGGGGGGTGATCCTCATAACTAAGGGCGGCTTGGCAGGTGTAGCAGAGGGCCTCATTCCCAAGTGCTATTGACTCTGATGCCTTCTGGATTATGTCTGCCTGAAGGTAAGTACAGAAAGGGGGGGCCTGCAGAAAGACTTTTGGGTGGTGGTGGGGTAACTTCAAGGAAGAGTGGTGTGACAGGGTTGAAAACAAAAGGTGCTTTTACAGGTGCCCCAGCTGTTCCCAGGTGACGTCCTGTCTCCCCTCCTGAGAGTGGGTGCCCTCAGGAGGAAGCCTGCAGACTCACACAGCCCCTGGTCTGCAGCCAACGCACCAGAAATGTCCAAGAAAAATGGCAAAGCCTACACCCCCACCCCCCTTTCCTTGTGTCCTGTTCTGCTGAAGGGAATAGGACGTCCAGATGACTGTGTGCATTCAGCTAGTCTTTTCATCCTATACCTCCCTCCTCCTCCTGCTCCCTTTAAAAGACCGGCCCGACTTGGCATAGATTCCGATGTTAAAAACAAAGAATTTTCCCTCTGAGGAGGGTGTGTGTGTAGCTGGCTAAATCTGTAATTTGGAAACAGCTTCGGGTTTTAATCTCACCTCTCCACCCTAAGCATCAGCTGAGAGCTCATTCCTAGCAGGCTGGCCCTTCACGAAAAGATTTAAAAGGGATTTATTACTATCTTTATTATGTGTATGTGTGTGTGCCTGTGTGTTTATGTGCACACATTTGCAGATGGTGGCAGAGGACAGAGGGTGCCATGAGATCCCTTGGAGCTGGGGTTGCAAGTAGTTTGTGAGCTGCCTGGTGTGAGTGCTTAGAACTGACCTCAGGTGTTAGGTGTTCTCTTAGAGCACTGAGTGCAATAGCCTTCCATACATCTCCCCATGGGAGGACTTTTAGCATCACTATTTCCTGAGAGTCTCTACTTGGGCCTTGGTCAGAGCTCAGCCTTTGAAGTAGGCTTCATATTTCCATTCTCATGAGAGGTACAGAAACAGCACAGGCTTGTATGCGGTAACATTGTATCGCCTGTATGTGGTAACATTGTATCACTTGTATGCGGCATCATTGTATCGTTTTTATGTGGCAACATTGTATCGCTTGTACGAGGCAACGTTGTATCACTTGCATGTGGTAACAATGTATCGTTTGTGCGTGGAGACATTGTATCGCTTGGTGACCACACCAAGGAAGGGGCTCTGGAGCCTTTGTCAGGCAGTTGCTTCAGGAGAGGGCCAGAGATCTTGTCCAACAAGACAGAACCACACCAAAGGTGCTAGGGGAACAGACAGCCACCGCCTACTCCGTCTGTTTACTAAAGGATTTTTGTGACTTGCAATTTCGTGGTCATTCTGACAGGCCTGTGCAGGTTTGTGGTCTCTTCTGGAATCTTCTCACGTCCATCTCTGCTGATACAATCTGTTTTCTTGGCCCAGAGTATTTTACTTCAGGAGTGGAAGACCCAGGGATACACTGCAAAGAGTCTTGGGTTGGACCAGATACTCTTTTACCAAGTTGATAAAGAGTAAGACAGTCCCCTGATGGGGGATGGAAGGACATCCATGGTCCCCAGCTTCAGCTATTGTAGTGTTTGTAAAATTAATTTAACAGAACACTGGTGAACTTCCCTTCTCCATACATAGCCCACACTGGGGTTTCTCCTATGTATTCTAATAAACTCTCTGAAAAAAAAAAGTTAAGAGACCTTTTATAAGTAAGCAGTCCTAGTTTCTATCACTTTGTGTAAAGAACAACACCTGGGGACTTCTGGAGATAGACATCAAACCTTAAAACAAACACAATCTCTTCATTTCTCACTTGAGTCTCCTGAAGCATGAGATGAGGAGAGCAGAGGACTGGTCTATACTCCTGGGTCAGCCCCAGAGCACATGACTGTGAGTGCACTGTGTGTGCTCACCCATGGTGTTGATTCTCTCTGTACAGTGGGTATGAGTTGCCGAAGTGATTCCCTCTGTGCAGGCTGCGTTTCAAGGCGCCATAGGAGCCAGGTGCCCTTCTGGTCTCCTGGGTTGTGAACTACAGCTTCTCAGACAGCACCTGGAAAGGGCAGGACATACAGAGCTGTCTCTTGCCTTCCAGGAGCCCCCAAATCAGTTGCTTTTGTGTCTTCCAACACATCACCCTGCTTTTCAAGAAATGCCAGCAACAGAAACAGCCCAAAGTTGTCTTTGCCTTTAATAGAAAAGTGATCTCTCTTCCGGTGTCATATTCATGACTGCAAAAAAAAAAAAAAAAACAGGTCACAAGGGAAGGCATCTTTGCCAAGGGTAACTGTGTTAGCCTCAGCTCTGACCAGAGCTTTTTTCCTGATACGTTGAGCAGGTGGCGATGTGGGAGAAGTTGGTATCTGACTCGGTTTCTGTGCATTGGAAGCAAAAAGGAACACTGCCTCATATTCGTGAGAGTTCTGTCCACACTGAAGCATCAACACCTTTTTTCACAAAGCAGCAAATGGGAAGTGTAGTGAATGGGTGGCTCTCACAGACAGAGAAGGGAAGCAAGTCTAGGCACCTGCAGCAAGCAGTCCTCAGTCCGTGTCCCTCACTGTCCCAAGAGCTTCACACTCCTTAGGCCTTTCAGTGGCCTGTGTCCCTCTATAAAAGACAAGTCTACGGTTTTCTTTCTTATAATCAGACTCAAGTTGAAGCCTAGGGTTTGGTTTTCTTTAGTCTGTGACTCTTGGCACCAACACTCATCATGGTGGTGAGTGCTGACAAGGAGACTGTGACTGCTTTTTGTTTGCAATATATTGTCATGTGTAAAGGTCTTCCACACTTATCCACAGAGCCTCAGAACCGGGGACTTTCCTTTTCTTACAGGGCTACCGCTTTGGGTGACAGTCCCCCCCCCATGGGGTGCCAGGTGATGTGTATAATTTAATTGGAACATGAGAATGCACTTTGAACTTATTATATGTAATGATGGATCTGCTTTTCTTAATTCATGTAGGGTGTTATAATCCTGCTCTTTATTTTCCTCTCTTAGGGTCAATAAATGAAAAGTTGCCCCCACGGGAAGGTGCAGGAAAAGCAGGTAACTATCTTGAAATAAATTTGCATGATGGTATATAAGATTAGATCTGATTGCACCTTTAAATGACCCTCAAGTTTAAAACTGAACTATATTGGAAGCTGTTACCCACATCTTCCAGCAGCATGCAGCAGCATGGATGTCCCCTGAGGGTCAGGCAGTACACTCACGGGTATTGGCTACAGCTTGTGTGGGGACCCTGAAAGGGGCTTAGGACTACTGTGGGCCTGTTGTGTTCAGTTGTAGGCGTGTCAGATAGTATTGTAGTATTTGAAGACAACTGTGGGTGTGGCAGGTTCAGGTACAACTGTGGGTCTGTGAGGACCACTGTGGATGTGTCAGGCTGAGCTGCAGGTGAACTGTATTCAACCGTAGGTGTGCTATGTTCAACTGTAGGTGTGTCAGGCAATACTGTGATCATGTCAGGGTTCCTGTAAGTGCACTGAGTACTATTGTAGGTATACTGAGTGACTCAGAGGAAATCAAGAGAAGCATTTGGCAAGAGAGTAGAGGCTCAGAATTTGGACTTCTCACACATTCCAAGCCAAGGAAATTACCGAGGATACTGATAATGTCTTTGAGAAGGTGACAGCTTTCTCCACAGCAGGTGCCCTTCTGAGGGAGAGACAGAACAGTTGATTTCCTTAGGAGCCACATGATGGCTGAGTTCATCTTCCCTACTAAGACAACTTGGGAAGATCTGTCCTCTTCTTCCTTGACCTTCCTCAGTCCCCCCCCACACACACTCCATGACCCCCACTCAGCCCTTGGGAAACACATTCTGCTTTAAGTCTTTGAAGTCAGGAGAGATTTTCAAGATGAAATGATTTTTTTTTTTTACATAACCACAGGCATTACTCTTCTTTCTACCGTGGATTATAGTATAATAAACCTGACAAAGAGAAGCAATATGGAGACAAGACAAATAGAACTAAGTTTCTTCAACCCCATTCCCAAGGCATAAATTGAAAGTCCCTTGGCTAGGAATTGGGCTTTCAGCCCTGGGAAAAAAAGATCTTTATAGAGTTAAGACGCATGCACGGAATGAGTCCAGGGAGGCCTGGGGTAGATACTTAGAGGACTGGAGCATCCACTAAGGCTTGAGGGCTCTGAAACAGGCATTCTGTCTAGAGGTAGACAGTGCAGCTTCCAGCCAGAACAGAAAAGCCTGAGAGGGCGTGGTTTGCATTTGGAAGAAAGATGTTCAAGTGATAACGTTTGCTCCCACCGCTGGTTTTTAGGGAAAGAAGCGACAGTTTGCGAGTAGAAAACTAGAGGCAGGTGATTCCACTGCCCACGAGCATCTCCTTATTTATGATTAAAGGTTTAAAAAAAATAATTCTCCTCCGCTCTCCCTAAAAGCCTTGTGTGGGGCTTCTAGACAGCTGGAGGACACAGCTGGAGGTCACGGCTAGCTAAGCCCTCATCTTATATGCTGACCCTGATATGACTGTGTCAAAATGTCTGGGGCAGACTCGCCTGAAACAGTAGGGGTAGATTTGGTGAGACCAAGTACCCAACCACTGACCCTGAACTCCTCAGGGACCCCGCAAGGAGGCGGTTAGTAAATTCAGGGATGGTTATCCTCCGAGAAGCAGGGCCATTCCTCGTAGTGTACACACTGCCTCCCACCAGCCCACTCATTAGCTTGACCCTTCCCACACTGCATCCTCCCATGCATGCTACCCCTCAGAGTCTCTTCTGCGACTCTGCTGCTAACTGGAGGAGGGCTGGCTGGACCAGACTGTGGCTTCCAAAGCGGCCTCTGCATAGGAATACACACAGGGATGGGTTTTCAGCCCCCACAGCGACCCCTGTGGATCTTTGTCCTCTTCCCCACCCTGAGGCCTTTGCAGACCAGGTTTCCTTTCCTAGAGCGGAGCCCTCCTGATAACAGTTTTCCACTTGTCCCTCACTGCCCTGTAATGGCCACTGCCCTGATGATGGTTTAGAACTTCATCCAGAGTCCCCATGTAGGTCTCGGCTCTCAAGTTCCCATAGCATTTGAGGGTGGCAGTTCCTAAGACAGTGGGTCGATGTTGCCTCCTGGGTCCCCTGGTGATGGCTTGGCTTTTGCTCTGTGCTGGGCTGTGTTGGGAGGTTCTGTGTGGGTGGTTTGCAAGTCCTGGGCTCCAGCCTGGATGCACACTTACTTAGCTTACTCTCATAATTGTAGTCTCCTTGCAAATCTTTTCCATTCTGAATTCAGATGATGCTGCAGCCCCAGCATTGGAGACTCAGCCCCAAGGAGATGAAGAAGGTGAGCTGGTGATAGGGTACTGGGAAGGGAGCAGAGAGGGGTGTTCAGGGGCCGGGAGGTGGTATCGAGTCACCGTGGGCGCGATGCTGTTCACAGTCTAGACCACACACAGAAGGGTTCCGCCTAATGTCAATCACTAAGTCTAGAAAGGAGAGCAATATGAGGACCATGGTAGCACAGTCTGAGCTAGCTCCTTCCTGAGAGAAACTCCCCCGGCACACCCCAGCACACACACATGAGTGCAGGGAACGGCAGGCAGACCCTTTGCTGGACTGCAGACATCAATTCACTGTGGGTGTCAAGGTATCAGGTGTATGTGTTAATACAGATTGCAGATGGTCCAGAGTGCCCTGGCTATGTGCGGCCATTTCCAGTGTCACAAGGTACCATTGCTTTTCCTGGTGGGTTTCCACATTGCCATGGGGGTCCTGGTGAGATGAATACCTTGGTAGTCAGTCATTTTATTAATGGAAAGGTATGCATTCATTTTTCTTCAAAGGTGAGACAATACCTGCTATTTCCCTGCTTGTGTAGCTGGTCTCTATGACAACTATAACAAGGATAGATTTCTGATGTCTACCTTTGACATTGGTCATGCCACATTGAACAGGTTCATCGTAGGGGAAAATGTATAAGGAATGCACATTGTAAGAAACTGGAGTGCAGAATCCCACATGATTTGCAAGTAACTACAGTGACTAGCGTGTGCTGGAGGTACTCTGGAATCTGCCAGTAGAACCCCAGTCCGCCCATGCCCACAAGAATTCAGGGCTGCCTATCCTGCATGGAAGGGGGTTTAAACCCAGATTATGTGCAGGGTCTGTGTTCTCAGGGCAGAATAATGTGACCCTGCCGTGCAAGCCAATCACATTTGATAAACTTTATTAAGGGGGATACTTTCCTTAATGGTGTTATGTGAGAGTTATATTTTAAATATTTTATTTGTTTTAAAAAGGTGCAGCACACTTTATGTATTATACTGGGAGGGGGTGGTCAGGGAACCAACCGCATTCCTCAGCCTAGGGACTCCACGCTTCCTGATGAACTGTCCATGGTCTTATTGTTTCTCTAGATATCGCATCACGCTACCCTACACTCTGGACTGAGCAAGTTAAAAGCCGGCAGAACAAGACCAATAAAAATTCAGGTAAATTGGGACCTGGTGTCCTTCTGTAAGGGAGTGTTTAATTCAGACTCTCTGTAGTCTCTGAAGGACTTCTGTGCAGCTGTGCAGTGAGCTGCACTTTCAGACACGTGTGTGTGTGTGTGTGCACGCGCGTGTGTGCGTGTGCATGCATGCATGCATGCATGTGTGTGTTTGTGCGGGTGTGTGGTTGAGTGCTCTCCTCATTGAGGCAGTTTCTGAGCTGTTTTAGGTTCAAAGCCTCCAAATGTATGGATTGTACCAACTACAGAGCAGCAGTGATAGGCTGACCTTTAAAGGCATCCACTTGGACATTTTGTAGAGGAGCTGTGCAGCTTGTCAGCGACTGCCTGTTTTCAGGAGTTTATGGAGCTCGGTAGGTGTTCCGCCTCTGTCCTCTGGCCTTTTGTAGACTCTGAGTTTGCCCTCTGGGTGAGTGGATAGACAGCCAAGGGATGTCAGGATGACCACAGGAATTTCCTGGGATTGACCTTGAGCACAGAGATGAGAGGCAGCCACTCCCGAGGGCATCCTGGCACCGAGTGCTGCTGTCTGGGCTGTATGATCCTTTCAAGGCGCGATTTAAATATGCTACAGTAGAGCACTAAGCTTAGGGCACCACAGCCCAGAACAGGAAGAATATATATGACTCTATACGCAGCACAAAGAGGCCTGGCTGTCAGGAAGGCTGTGTCTGGGGCTGTTCAAGCCCAAATCCTCAGGAGATCCATGTTTGGGAAAGACTGCACAGGGGCCTGGTGATGCAAAGGAAGGCTTACATGGAATACCAGTGGGTCCCTGAGGAGTGGGTGCCAATCCATGGTGCCCCTCATCCATTTCCTCCTGGCTCTGGCTCTGAATGGCTGAGCCTCACCTTGTCCCTGATGGAGACTTTTCCCCTTGACTGCTCTGAGAAAGGGTAGAACCCAAAGGTTTCATCACCGGTATGCAAAGGAAGGAAATTGTAAATATTTTCCCCCCTCAACTATGGGCAGCTTTCCCTGTTGTATTAGTTTTATTTCTGTAGCTGCGATAAAACACTCTGTCTAAAACCAGCTTAGGGTAGGAAAGGGTTCATTCAGCTTACATTTCAGGGCCACAGGCTGTCATTGAGGGAAGTCAAGGCAGAAATTCAAGCAAGAACTTGAAGGCAGGTCTGCTATGTCTTTCCTGCAGCATTACTTATTTTGCAGCCAAAGATTATGGCAGGGCCATGGAGGAGGACGCTGCTTGCTGGCTTGCACACTTATCTATGCTTAACATGCTTTTTATTCAGTCCTGGATTGTCTGCCTAGGGATGGTGCCTCCCACAGTAGACTGGGGCTCCCATTAATTATCAATCAGGGTACTCCCTCACAGATATGCCCACAGGCTGATATGATCTAGGCAACTCCTCAGCTGAGGCTTTCCTCTCAAGTTGACAATTAAAGGTAGCCAGAGCACCTACTGAATTAAAAAAGTCACTCGTATGACTCTCTCATAATCTCAAAAAAAAAAAAAAACCAAAAACAAACAAACAAACAAAAAAACCCCACCACCACCAACAAAAAACCCACCACTATTATTCAATTCTGTCGCCATACTTACAAAAGGTATCTGATTGAACCCTGTCATACACAAGTAATTCGTGCATGAGAAAATAATTAAATCATTGCTTGTCTCCAATTTATCAATTTCCCTATAGGTCTGAGAGCTTCTCATGGGAGAAGCATTATGGCCACGACTGACCTTGATCTGAGAAATACAGATGGTTATAAACACAGTCAATGGAAACATGTAATTTAAAGGTGCATCTAATTGTGCTATGGGGGGAATTTCAACTTAGGCAGATAACTTGCAGAACAAGGGCATCACCTCTCAGCCACTGTTGGCAAAGTGATGGGCCAGTTATAACTAACCTTCAACAACTGGGCAAGCTTTCAGGGTAGTAAGAATTAAAAAAAAAAATATATGCCCCAGGAAAGTGCAGCTTGCCTATAATGCATAGGTTATTATAGCTTGTTTTAAATTTCTATATATGAGTAGAATTCAAAGCAGAGGCGTTAAGTTGATTTACAGACATGGGTTGTGAAACTATTAGGTTTTGATTGTGTTTAACTGCTATTATCTACTTTCTGAGGGTCATGGTATCATAGGATATTTAAAATAGCATTAGCAGCAATGCTGTGAATACTCTTAGTGTCTGTGGCCTGGCTATTGTTAGAACCATGAGAAGAGTTTTGTTTGTATTTAATTCCTACTTCATAAAGCTACCTTTACTTACAATCATCTTTGGCAGATATAGAGATGTTTATTTAATAAAAGCATTAATGGGTTGGAATGTAAACTGGCAGCAGAGTGTGCTTCACTACCTGGGTTTTATCCCAGGTTGACAAACAACAGCAACTATAAGAGCAGTGATTTGTGAGTTAGGCTCTGCGAACCCTCCTGGTTCAGCACCCCCGCCCGCGGGGGGCCCCCCCCCCCCCCCCCCCCCCCCCCCCCCCCCCCCCGCCCCCCCCCCCGCCCCCCCCCCCCCCCCCCCCCGCCCCCCCGGCGGCCCCCGCGGCCCCGCCCCCGCCCCCTCAGCCCCTCATCTGAGCAGGATCGATGGTGATATAGCCTGTCCATTGCCTGAGGGGTTGACAGATTGGGTTCTGTGGCCAAGGACAGAATTCAGACTGGAGGAGACCTCCTGGGACAACCCCACTGCTCAGACCTGAATTCAGTGCATGGTAGCAGGGGAGAGTCCTTCTGTCAGAGACTGTGGCTAGAAAAAGGTGAGGCTAGGGTACCTCTGTGGGGGGGGGGAGGCAGAGGGTCCCTCTGAGCCCTGCCGCTCTACCTAGAGTCCAAAGCCCCAAGATCAGGGGCAATGGTTTTGTGTTTACGGCACCCACCATCTGGCCGAACACTTATAGACTCCAGAGGCACCCTACTCAGTGGACTCTGGTTGAGCCTGTGGCCTGCACAGATGGACTTCTTCAGTCAGGGCTGCAGCAGCCGAAAGGTCCAGCAGGGAATGGGCATCCGGGGGCAGGGGGGGGTCAGCAATGGCTATAGTTCAGTTTCCTCACCCCTACGTGGATGGGCGCGGAGATGCTTCAGAGGCTACTGCCAGGCCCAGAGGGAGCCACACTGACCTCAGATCAGCCACCCCGTGGTGCTTACCAGAGTCAGAATGGAGGTCACAGAACAGTGTCCACAGTTACCTCCTTTGCAAGCTGTGAGAGGAGGGAGGTGCTGCGACCGACTCCTCTCTGTCAGGAGGACCATCTGAGGCTCCCGTAGGTAAGGAAGGATCTGTTACACAGAGCAGCCCGCCACAGAAAAAAAGGGCACTCTGTATTTCCTACCACCCGGGAGCTCCGAAAGGCTAGCCTGTGTTAGATGAGCTCCAGTGGGCAGTGTCCATGGTCACCACTACTAACTCAAGTGTGGGTTCAGAGGGCTGCGCTCCCTGTGGCTGGATAAACTCCTCAAGTCGCCTCTCCCAGGTCAGTATGCTGTGCCTTTGCTTGCAGCTGTCTGCAGGCCGCCGTTCCTGGGTACTAGCCAAGGACCAGCCCTGGCCTGTACCACGGAAGGGCTTCTGGCTACAGCTCCCGCAATAGCAGTCGGACCTTCCTCCCACTTGCAGTAAGAGGTTGAAGACTCCGAGCACTGGTTGTCTTACCGCCTTGTTTGTTTTTTAAGTGAGGAGTGGAAGATGTTGAGTATCTGTTTTTTCTCTCCCTCCCTGGCTCTTCCAGCAGCCCACAAGGCCAAGCCTCCTCCGTAGAGCTCCAGGGAAGAGGGCTCCCTGTTCTCAGCCTTCGTTGGACACAGGCTAGCCTCTCCATCTCCCTTGGAGCTTGCCAACCTTTTCCTGTCTTTCTGTATTTTGCACAAGCTGGAACAAACATAGAGGCCTGGGTTGTGTCATGTCCAGGCACCTCCCCCCTCCCCGATCAGCCGTTAAACCCTTCTCTGGCTCACGTTCAAGAGGACATCCTTGATGGTCACCATGGCCTGTGGTTTTATGAGACCCCCCTGGGTGGAAATATCTTCTGCCTTATTCGGGATTGATAACTTTTGCTTTATTGCATGTATTAAAATTAATGCCAAAAGATAATTATCTTTTAATTCTGCTTTAAATCAGGCTAAATTGCATTCCCGGGGGGAGGGGGGACGTTGAATAATATGAATTAAATTTCATTTGTAACTTCTAGGTTTTTCCTTCTCCTTTTGTTTTTCAAAATCAACATTATAAAACCATCAAGATACCATTTAGACTCTTTAAGCTGTAAAGCTCTAGTCATTTGAAGAGATCATAATCTATAAATTACATAATTCCCGTTAAGTGTGGCTGTAACCGTGCATGATTTTAAAGTCTTCGCCATCCTGCTTATAAATGTGCACAGCCAAGTAGATTTAACTTTGCTAACTATACAGGGGTGTGTTAATTTCAAATATGCTTTATTCTTAGACTTCAGTGTTCAATCAAACTGTAAATGGTCAGAGCATTCTCAGTTCTGAAAAAAAAAACAAAAAAACAAAAAGACAGTGAAATCAAGCAGACCCTAGTTAGACTGGTTGGAAACACATCAGTGATTCTCTAAGAAGAGAGCACTTGACTTTATTCTCTGAAGGGAAATGAAATTCAACTTGCCATCGGATCGCTCGGTCCAGTATGAGTCTCCTGAGGAGACAGAGCTATGGTGCTGGTTACTCATCTAGCAAAGGACCTTGCTTGTACACAGAGCAATCTTATCCTTAAAACAGTCTGTGAGCCCAAAGCAGCTTGTCTCAAGGGCTAGCACGGGTTTCAGAATCCAGTGTGGATGTGCAGCTTTCTATTGCTGATTTTGGCAGGGAAGGCGTGTAAGGTTCCAAAGATGGGGGCCAGGGGATCTTGGAGTGTGGTGGGGTGGGAGGGTAGGGGGAGAGGTAGCTCAGGCTGACAGAGGACTGGGCTGTCCAGAGCTCTGTATGGACCTGCCTTAAACATGTATTACCTGCTAGTGTTTCTCTGCTGCCTAGCT